TAGGGAAATGCCTTGACAAGTCAGCTCTGTCATCGGAGATGCTATATTTCAAATAGAGCAAGGAGCTGAAAGAATGAACTACGAACACTATTTTTAGGCTTAGTATTCATTTGAAAATGTTAATCTTTAGAATGATCTCTTTCACAGAGTTAAATATAAGGCCTTTATTTTTCTCTTCTGTGACATATTAAAGGGACATCAAAGTCAATTTATTTGCTTAGTGGGTGGGGTAGTGGGGCATTCAATTACCTCAAGGTTGAAATAACCACTAATAGTTATGCTTCTGTTGCTATGCAGAGTGAAAGAGAATGCTTTGAAGATGCAGATATGTGTGATATTAAGTTGACTGCAGTCCAGGGATCTTTCAGATTACTTTTTTAGTGTAAAGCAATTTTTAGAGGTGCAGTGAGCTATTTGGCATAGAGTCAAACTGCTAAACAAGCCTCTGTAGGCTCACATTAAAAATATAATCTTACCTTTTTGTTTGCCTGCTAGCCTTGCATCTGGCTCGTTTTACCTCACTGTTATCACTATCTGTACCTGCTCTACTCCACATCAGCCTTTCTTTCAGATGACCTGACAAGTTTCTGTTTCATTGTAGAAGCAACTTTTGGAAATCTAAGAGATGATTGTTGCAAATTCAGGCTGAATCTTCAAAATATCAATGTTATTAATGTTTTAATCAATTCCAACAGCAACAGATCTACTGAGTGCAGTAGGGGTAGAGAAAGCCTGTTCTCTAGGGCAGTGATTTTCTCTGATGAATTTAAAACAGCTGTGTTGTGGTAAGTACTCAGTGTGCACTAGCACTTAGCTGTTCATGGAGCTTGCCTTTACCAAGCCAAACTCCATCTTTCAAACTCCACTGCCGTCTTTACCCATGTAAATTTTCAAAACACCAGAAGAGTCAGTGTATAATGCAGGCATACCTATGTATTTGTGCTGGTACATATCCTGCAGTATTTACTGGTACCTTCACACTATCCATTGAACAGAAAAGCCCTGACTACACAGTAAAAAAATGCTATGCATTTTAGCCTTACTTGCTTGTGGTTTGGTGGTACTAAAAATAGTGTTACATGTGTCAGTCTAGGCCAGTACCTAGAGCCAAGTGTCCTAGAAAATGACTCAAGTCATTAACTTGAATGGGCAAGATGGCCCCATAGGGTCACAACAGGGACTTCTGCAGCACCAGTTTCTGTTGCGATGGACCTCTCCGTTTTCTAGGTTCATGTATCTGGCTGTTTGGCCAGCTCCTTGGCAGCTGTGGGCAGCCCTTCCTGCAATCCCTCAAACATGTTCAACAGCCCGGCTAGTACCTGGTACTAGCAAGGTACACCATGCGAAGTAGCCCTGAACTGAAGATAAAGTGTATGTTTAAAAGAAATCTGAACTCGGGTTGTTATGAAACACAGCACCTACTCAGCATCTCCTTGATTTCCTCTAGAATTGAACTGCTCTAAGGAGAAGCAGAATTCAGTCCCTTGCAGCTGAATTTCAGATCATAGAATCATAGAATCATAGAATGCCTTGGGTTGGAAGGGACCTTTGGAAGTCATCTAGCCCAGCCCCCCTGCAGTGAGCAGGGACAGCTTTAACTAGATAAATAGATAGAGGACTAGACAACAGGGTCTTTTCTCAAATCTCAACAAACTTTTTTCCCACTGCTTGCTTGCTTGCATCAAATAAAGGGAGGGATCTTCTCTGCATGCTTCCACCTAACAGAGTGAGATGAGCTGCATTCACACAGTCACTGTGGTAGGCATTTCCCTCATATACCTCATTATGGGGACAAAATTCCCACGGCAGATGGCTTTTGCAACGTTGCGATTTTTTTATCTGTCTTGAGCAGTGACAGGCAATGTGGTTAAACCAGCCAGTGCTTGGCTCTGTGTTTGCCAGCACT